AAGAAACTGCTCTTTGAGAAAATGCAGCTCATTCATCACCATCAACATGAAGAACACAAGCTAAGGGTTTTCTTACTTGTGGAAGAAAATAATTCCCTTGACAGAATAAATGATAAATTCCATTAAGCAATTCTTGGTCATAATCACTTTCAGTTCACTCAGATTTATTGCCACTCTTCATATTTGCTTTAAATACTATTAAAATAATCTATGTGCATGACTAATTTCTCATCTTTTTTATTTAAAAGTAAAATCTAAAAACTTTCTTGTGTGTTTTAAGAGCATATATTCCAAGTATGCAGAGCAGAAGAGAAGTGACTTTTCTATATGTTGTCCTACAGGAGAAAAAGTGTACAACTTTATTTTAGTTCACTGTACATATGCAATTTTACCAAGATTACTTAAAAACAGTAGAACATCTTTGTATCTCCTCCTTCAAAAACAACATAAAAGTTTCAGAGTCGAAGAATAAGCATAGTTTCAAAGAATAATCATAGTTTCTACACATTTTACGATGCCATGTGCTAATAGATAAAATAACTCTCTAAAAAACCAAGAAGATCTTGGGAAAGTGCTCATAAGTTGCTTTCCAGAACTGCACAGGAAAGTGACATCCATCTTTAACCACATACAGTTAGTCCTTTTTCATTTTTATATGTGCATGATACATAATATGCAGTGAAATATTTGTTAGAACTTTCATGCGTGAGAAAAATCAGATTTATTTTGCCTGCATGTACTGCTCTAAATTGATTTTAATACATACATAAACCAGACACACAGCTTAAATGTTCTACATACAGAACTCAAGGTATTACACACAATCATGACCTTGTTGGACTCTACTGCAAATAATTTCTGCTAATATCCAACTGGATATTAGTTTTAGTTCATCCTTTAAGGTCTTTTGCCCAGGATCCATATCCCAATTGTTATGGTCTGGTCCTGTTCCTGACATTAGAATCTCATTACTACTAATACAAACTTTCAGGGTGACTGGATACTTGATTCCAGAGAAAGCTTGAGAGAAAATACGATTCCAATCGCATGTCAGAAGTTCTTAGAGAAATATTGGATATATCTCCTGTTTGGATAATCATATCAAAACAAGCAATTAACTCAAATTTTTGAAGTCTCACATCCCTACAGAGACTTCTTTAACTACTGAATACCCAACACGAAGGAAGGAATCCTGCAGTAGCAGAGCTCGACATGGGGAGGTGGGCAGCAAGGAGAAGGGCAAAAAAATTGAAAACACATTTGCAAGGATATTAGAGCAGAAACAGCTGGTCAAGGTTGCAGCAAGACATGCATTTTTTCTTCTTGTAATAATTTTTAAACTTATTAATAGCAATTGTTGCATGGTTAGAAATAAAAGCAACACTGATTTCCTTACCTGCTCTTTAAAAAAACACAACAGAAATGCCCAAACCAGCAGGGCAGACAGAGAGATGGGATATGCACTTTTTTTTGGCAGTCAACCTTCATTCAGATGTCTGAATCCATAGAATAGGAACACCTAAGCATTGCAACAACCAGATCTAATTTATTTCTGATTAATCCTCTAGCTTCTTATGATATCTGGGTCAAACCTAAACATGAAAGCTATGTAACAAGGGAGAAAAAAAAAATTTGAACATGTGCTGGAGCAGCAATAGGGGATTTCCAGTGATATTCATGCTACTGGTGTTGTATTCCTGCGTTATATAGCTTTCAACCATGACCCCAGGAAGGCATATTTGCCCACCCATGCAGAAACTCTTCAGTCTTTTCATACGAGAATTTAATTCACAAAGCATGAACAGAGAAAGAACTGCCTCTGCCTATATAGCTATTCTATCCCTGCTGAAATCACCATCTGCACTGATGTCAGACAGCTACGCTAAAAAAACATGAACTCATTTCAGACAAACAGAAGTCATAGTCACTGGCTTCTCAGCACAGCTGGGTGAACAATTAGAGTCACCACTGTCTGGGCAACTGCACAAGTGGGCTTTCGAACAGCCAGAAAGAATAAAGGGCTTGTGTTGCTCTCATCTGTTGACTTGTTGCTTTATGGCATCCTGCATTGTTTAAATATGCCCCTCAGCTCCTCAGCTGAGTGCGTCAAGCTATGAAGTTTGTACTGAGGCCAGATCGAAGTGGCACAGCACAAACACTACCAGAGAGGCAGGTGTAAGGCTTGCAGGTTCCTGTGGCAGGCATACACATCTGCACTGCTCCACAACCCAGTCATCCCAAGAGCCTGAGCTTTTGGCATTGCATTCATTTTCACTTATTCAAATATGTGAATGAATCATTTATAACCAGTGTAGTGATGTCTGCTTGTGTCTGTAGGCTGTCTAGGACATCGAGATTGGGATCAAGTGGAGGCGGGCCTGGCATTACTGTGTATAAGGGTCAAACAATCCTGCTACAGAGACAGAGATTCCCCCTGCACCCTTTTGCATAGACCAGTCTCTCTGGGGAATGGACTCTGGCATGGTAACTTCCCCATTCCCTTTTGCAAAACACCTGCAAAGCCAGAAGGTAGTCTGAGATACGTTTGGGACATTCAAGGCATGCTGACTGTGTCCCCACTCCTGACAGCAGTTTCCAGTCCTCTAGCTGCTGTCATCCCTCAGAGTCCAAGCTCGCTTTCAGTCTTCCTCACAATATACAACAGGAGAGAAAAACCCTGAAACAGTCACATGGAAGTTAAGCACAGCTATTCCACATTCACATGGACATCACCCACATAACTGTCTGGCTATGAGTTGCCAGTTAATGCCACTTGCAGTGAGTACTGTCCTGTGGATGAAAACAGAGATAAGTTTGCTTTTCCCCAAAACTTCAACAAATCAGACAAAACCTGACTAAAAACAATGACTTCTACCATCTTCACAAACCAAGACAGCTATAATTTATTTCTTGTCTGCTGAAGTTGTCAGAGACTTAGATTTTCATCTACTTGTTGAAGTCAGCTGCAATGAGAGCACGACAGACTGACAGGGAGTTAAGAGAAAGCTTGTATACCATTACATTTCTTTCATTAGGTACCCTGGTAATTTTCCGGTAAGTCACAAAAAGCCTGTCTAGAAAGACAGTATTGCTTTTGGCAGCTTTACAGTGTTCTTCACTGAGCAACAGATAAAAAATTAACTATCAGTGCTTCACTTGCCAAAGTACTTTTTGAAGATACTCTGGAAGTTCTCAGTGACCCAAAAATTTCTGTTCTCTATTTTACAGTGGACTTGGAACCAGTGAGGAGTACAGTTCTGCTGGTGCTATAGTTTGTTTGTCATCAAGAAACTAAATTTGAAGGCAAATTTGGTAGCTTTCTCATTAATGTTCTATAGCCTAATAGAGTTTTACACACTAGTTACAACTTGCTAACCAAGAGCAAGATGCAATACAGACTTCATGGCTTTTAAGATTTGAGGCTGAGGAGACAGATTCCTTTAGGCTGATTTGCACTGATCCACTAGAAGTAAATGAGGACAAGCAAGTATCACAGAACAGTTACGTAGTATAACCAAGTGCTGTCCCTTGACCTGGACAGTTATTACTGGAGCTCACAACCTTCTAAGAAATACATATTTATTAGTCTCATTAGCAAAACATTAGTTAGTTAAGCCTTCCATCTTAAAGATTTACAGTATTTAAATCAGACTACCTCTGCTTACTTGCAGATAAGATTACAATCTAATCTTGAAATACACAGCCCTTGCTTTTCATGCAACACAATTCAACCTTAACATTCAAAGAGCACTGAGAAGTGATTCAGCACACAGCACTTCCCTTCAACACACGGAGGAGAGCGATTTTGTGTGAGAGGCAACCCTTAAATACAAAGAGGGTATGCTCCTTCTGAGTTACACAACAATAACAACTATTTCCCTCCTCCCAAAGCCACTCCTCAGCAAAGACACGCAACTGCAATCAAAATAGATCACATCATTTCCTTTATATTTTTTCACCTTTAAAAGTTAAAGTTCAAGCTGTCTGATTAATGACACCAGTGAGACATATAACAGTATTTACACAAGTAAGTTTCAAATCTATGGTAAGCTACCTAGGGCTGAGTTACAGGATATTAGCTCAACTCTACTGCTGAAAACAGCTTCCAAGTTCCAGTACCTGGAATAATATAAAACATTACCAATAGCTGCAAGTGTCCAGCCACACATCTCCTTTGTAAGTATGGATTCAGTTCTGCACAAGCTTCATCATTCTGGTGTGCAAAGACGGCTTTTATCAACTTCAGTAACAATCATGCATACCCAGGGAAAGAAATTGGTCCATGCAGCTGATTCAGATCAGCAGATTCTCCCAAATGCCTGACAACCTGATTTCCACAGGGCTAAGGGCATTAGGGCATATTTCCAAATTGCTCTTAGAAGTCACCAGCTTTGGCGTGTAAACATTAACAAGATTTTGGAAGACTCTTCCTAAAAACTAGCCATTAGAACTACAGAGGGAAATGTGCAAAAGCACATTTGTGTCTCTCATCCAAAAATTACAAAACACGTCATTGAAACACACCTTTAGGCAAAATTTAGAGGATACCTAACCTTTCCAGAAACTATTAAAGCAGCTGTGTATTGATGGTATTCAGATGGCTAACTCCTGACAGCATTCAGACTTGGAGTTGGTCCAAAACGCCTCATTGTGGCAGAGACATCCACAGGCAGGTGCGGAACACTGTTTGCCAATCTGTGGTTAACAACATTAAATAAAAGGAAACCAAAAAACAAACATAATATTTTTTGTTTCACATAACTCAGCTAAGGACCAGGGGTGGAGTGAGGGAAGCACTTCATAAAACCTGTTTTCTTTAAGCCACATTTCAACCCTCACCATAACAATACCTTGGCACTGAAATGATACTGCAGTGAAATACCACTGTGCGCAATGTCAAAACTCTCAAAAGGAAATCAGCAATGGGACATACTAGCTAAGGTTGTTTTCTACTTTAGTCAAGATTGTATTCAAGACTCAAAACTGTAAGCATTACTTACTCACACAGAAGAATGCCGTTTTCTAACCCAGAACGAAAATCTTTCTCACCAAAACTTCTGCCCGTCACTTGCTGCAAAAGAGTAGAGGGAAAAAAAAGAGTGACATCTATTAGAGAGTGAGCTTCACAAGTGCAATTCATAATATTCAGTTAGAGCATCTGCTGTGTAAGGAACATTTGAGCTTTACATGCCTTGCAAAAGACTAAGCAATGTCCATTTCTCTTTCCCATTTCATGAAGCTATTTAACATATAGGACAAAATATTTGCTCCAGCCAGTGCAATTGCAGTCTGCAATTGCAGACTGTTTTCTAGAAGCAAAAACCAAAAATGATGAAACAAAAACTAGAATGTAATCTGCAGAATATTTTAGAAGTTTTATTTTATAGTGCTTTGACTGTTAAAACTATAGCATTTAAGCAAACTATGTATTTTTATTGCTTTTTTTGCACTACATTAAACATTTTGTATCAGCCTTGAGCTTTAGTCCTTATCATCTTTATAGAATATGCAAAGACAACTGAAAGCAATGGCAAGAGTTACAGCCCTTCAGACACATGCCTCAATACTCCTGGTCGTATTAAAAGATACTTCACATCAGCAATTCAACCATGAATGTTAAGAGAACACAAACTCAGTGGAAGCTTAGGTTCTCCCCAGGTACACTTGGACCAGGAGGTACACTTTGCCTCACAAGATCTTAAGCCATTCTGTGCTGCTTAGGGATGGACCAGCTAGAAACCTTCCAGCAATCCCAATCTCACCTGAGAGTGCTGGATGCTACAAGCATGACTGAACCCCCATTCACCCCCATAAGCATGACTGAACCCCCACTACTGTGTTGACAATGTCTTGCCATTCATCCTCATATCATTCTCAACAGATAATATGTTCAGTTCAAAGTAAAGAATACTTTTTATTACAATCACAAAAGATATAAAAATAGTTACTATGTTTAGAAAGCACTGAACAGAAACAATACAAAGAAAAAAACAGTTTTAATTGTCCTGCAGGAGGTCTTCTCTTTACCCAGACAAAATATTTACCGGATGCTTAAAGAGTTCTCATGGCTTTCATCCAATCTTTCAGCAAGACCCTTGCTCTGGGTGTTGCTTCCACCATAGAGAACAGTGACTTGGGGATATATCTGTCATTATGTCCCTGTTTTCTCCTTGCTGTTATATTCAGATATAAGACCCTTCCCCTCCTAGTTTCCTGTCATAAAGACAGCAATTTATAAAAACTGACAAGTTGCAGCTGTCCCACAGGATTAGCAAATGCATCAGTTTCAGAAATGCTGGTTATAGCTGGGCAGTCTTGGACAGAAAGCAACACTTTTTAAATGGAAATGCATATGCAAAGCCTAAAATCTAATCCTTCACTAAATTATAAACATATTGTTTTGCTCAGTGTGGAGGAAGTTCTCCTGTACTCTGAAAAATGTATCATAACGGCATCAGCGGACAATCATATCTTACACAGATGCATGAAGTAGAAAAATGTGCTCATATCTCTGAAGAAACCACATGTAATTTATAATGACCCTTAACCATTTAAACTATATCTAGTTATAGAAAATCATCTCTAATCTTGATCTGCTGGGACACGGGGAAATCATGACAATAAAATCATTAACATTTGGGATGAATTATAGGTGGAGCATATCAAAACTGCCTTTTGTTTCATCCACAAGTTGTAGTACAGAAAGGAGCCGGAAGAGCTATTTCATAGCAGCCTGACTCCAAGTAGTTTTTTCATCTGTGAAAAAATTAAAGAAAAATTATACTCATCTTATTTCACTCCTCAACACCAAATGTCCCAGATATGAAGATGAGTCTTCTTACGGATTTGTTGAAGACCCTCATTTGTCAGGGAGCAGTACTGAAACTGTTACCACAATTCAGGTAGGACTCTACCTGCCAAAAGCTGTCGCATGATTATCACTGTTATTACTGATGACATAGGAAGGTTTCATACACTACTTCTGTCTGCACAAATAAAATCATGAAATACAGATGCACAGCTGGCACACAAATTCATCCAGTGAGAGGTACAACACACACTGACAGGAGGTGAGGAAAGACAGGAAGGTCCAGGAACAGTGCACGTCTGTTTGAAAAGGAACTGGAAGCAAATGAGGCATAGCAAGGTTTATGCCTGTGCTAGATGATGCAGCTGCAGGGGGAAAACATTAATCACCTACAAGTCTCCTGATTTAGTCAATTAAAATGTAAAAACAGTTCAACAGAGAATGGCTAGAAACTAAAAATAAACACAAAGATGACATTATAAATTACAAAGATAAACCCAGAATGGGACTGAGAGAAGCAAGAAGTTGGATCCACCTTTTCCAGAGGAAACCAGAGCTCAGTTGCTTGGCGTGTGCACACACATACACTTCCCTCTCTGCAGAGGCCACTTTGGGTCATACCCTCATGAAAAACTACTGCAGGCCCACAGGCCAGCCTGGTGCATATTGCTGAGATAACCTCTGCTCAGTACACCCAGAGCAGGAGGAGACAAAGGGACTTCAAGCAAAAGGATTGGCACTCTCATATTTGCACACAAAGAATCTCACATAGCGAAGTGCATACTTTACCCAAGCTCCAGTAAAAATGGAAGTGTGTGCATTAGCCACAATATCACAAAAAAGCTGCACACATCACAGGACTGTGTTCATGTTATTGATATAAGCAGTGGTCTGTTCTTACTAGCTTATCTCCCACCTCAGGAAATAAAATCCTCTAGTTTGCTGGATGAAACTCTGAAAACACTGACAAACAAGAACTAAAGGATAGCATTTGCAGTGCTTCTACTGGGCTTCACTGGAAAAAAGGAAATTGTTCATTTGCAACCAGGTACAGAAAACTGCAAAATGGAAGAACAGATCTTTAGCCCATCAGCTTTCACAGTACAGAGAATTGGTGTTCAGAGCTGCACCTGCACAAAACCAGTCATGAACAGATGCAAGGTACTCTGTATTCTGGAAAAAAAAAAAAGAGCAGTAACATAAAAACCTAAGATGTTAACTGAGAGAACTTTTGAGACCTGGCCTTTCTTTGCAAGGCCAGGCTTCCAGACTGCCACATCTTACATGCTTTGGAAACACAACTCCATCTTCCACCTTGCATTCTTCCCATCTCACTGGTACAGAACAGCACACTTAGGCAGTGCAGGAGGACACAGGATAAATGGAAGAGTTCCCTATCCACTCTGCAATGGCAGCATACTGTAATTATTGTGGTGCCAAAGTTAGAACAAAGTGCTTTAAAGACAAAACACAAACTATATCTTGCTAATGATTAGAATAACCTCCCACTTCTTTAATAAGCTGTATAAAGCTGAGTGGAAAAAAGCTGCATTTCCCTGTCATACTGGAAATTAAAAATAGAGAACAGAAGCAAAACAGTACCATTTATTACTGTGTGCTTCATTTATGTGAGGAGGCTTTGTTTTTATTCATCATCTGGATGATATTTTCTTCTCTGTAAAAAGCTGCAAGTGTCGCAACCAGGGCAATTATTTGAGTGCCGGGTGCATTTCTTAGTTTCCCTGTCACTTAACAACAGAAAATGAACCTAAAATGAGTAATGAAAATTCTTCATGGCAACAACTTCAATACATATTTGCATACAGTAACACTTGGTATATATTGCATTGTTGCTGATTAACTCTTTTGTTCTTTGTAGTTACATATGCTATGAAATTTATATCATCAAGGATGGCTGCCATCCAGCCACTAACCATTGCCATATTGTACAACTTTATTTTCCCAAAGCTTCAGTTTACATTGTTTTCCTTGCATTTTGTATTGCTGCTGAGATGGAGCTTACAAAGCTTCTCGTGTCAAAACAGCTTAGGGGCACGAAAAAGAAAAGGCGACAAATTAGTGAACAGATGCTGGCCCCAGGTGAAGTTTATCTAGGCCAACAAGGTATAAGTAGCTGAATAAACACTTGGTCATCAGGGATAACACACTGAAAACACTTTGTTTCATTTTCTATGTGCACATCTGAAAATACCATGTTATGCAGTGAAAAAAAATTAGAGACACAGCAAAAAGAGGTCTTTGTTTCTCACTATGTGTTTTTGCGAGTTTATGAAGCATGACAGTAAAGAGAAGAAGATTTTGGAAGCATTTCATAAGCTGTTCATTGCTTTGTATGTGAGTATGCTGCCTTTCCATTTTGTGCTACTATTATTTTCCCCTAAATATTTTTTTCTTAAGTGGAAAAATCAGGTCCTGCTACTTAACTAGGAAGATGTAAAAGTAAGGCTTAAACTGTAATAATCAGGTATGTATATAGAAAGCATTGGATTGTACAAACAACAGGGAAAACTAACCACCAAAAGAAGCAAGACAGCTTTTAGGGCATCAGGATTTGGCTCCTCTAGAGTAATGAATTCCTACTTCCCTGTTTCTGAGTTATAATGTGATCTAATAAGATGAATGCACAAGTTAAATTCCATTTTCATATAGCATAAGCAAGGAATTTCTGAACTAAACAAACACTGACCAGTCAAAGCCAGCTTTACCTTTGCAGCCCAGAATTGCACTGCATTGCTGTGACAGTGTGATGGAGCCTGGAGACCCTTCACTGGCTCCTGGTTTGGCCACCTATCAATCATGCAATGTCTCTGTCTGCAAAAGTGGACACAACACATCATCTAGGCATGATTTCCCTCTCTCTTATGTCACAGAGGCATTTAAATTGCTAAAATCATAGCAATGCAAACCAGTCCCAAATAGTTCCTTTATTACAAATACTAGGAAGCTAGTTGATTTAGTTCAGAGAAACTTGAATATTGCATGAATGGAGTTTTGCAGGGGCAACAATCACTGGTCTAACATACCTGTCTTCCAGTAAAGCTGAATGATGACAAGCACACTGCTCAAAGCCTTTCAAGGCTTTAGAGTATAGAGTAATTTACTACTGAAATCAGTAAAAGAGCAAACAAATATCTCTAGCGTGTTATTCTACTCTCAGGGACAAAACCAGCACAAGCTCAGAATGACTAATGTGGCCAGCAATGAATCACCTGAAATTCTGTGATACAGAACTTGAAAATTTA